CACACACACACATGCGTGCGCATGTCTTTTGTGCGTGTGTTGAGGTGGAAGGACGAACACCCCATCAACCTTGCTGACCGAGTCCCGGGTGCACCAAGTTGGATTAAAAACCTATAGAACTTGTACTCTGTGTTGAGGTTTAGGGCTTAGGTTGTGATTGTCCTTTGGTTAGTGTCCGAAGCAGGCTTCTGATTCTGCTTCTCTTTGCAAGCACTCGGGGTAGTGTCGTTGTATCATGAATGTTCTCAGACGGGCCACCATGCACACCACGCCGGATTTGCCATCCTCCTAAAAAGCCTGGTGAACAAGCACAAAAACTCGTGCATAATAAATGAGCCTTGACTATGGCAACAGGGTTTTGGTTATGTTATGCATGCTATAATCACAATAAGGAACACTCATGAGTTCTGCTGGTAAGTGTTCCGACCCTACAGTACCCGTTGCACCCGCCACTTCAGCATCTGTTACTTCTGCTTCTGCTTCTGCTNNCCCCCCCCCCCCCCACCCCCTCTCCCCCCCCGTCCTCCCTCCCCCCCCCTCTCCCCAGTTCGCCTGGCAATCAGACCAACCTGAGTCAATCACGGTTCGTTTTGGGAGCAGGTGGCCCAGCACCTAGAAAGGATCGCTAGAAAGGCCTCCTCGCAATGGTTTCTCGCAGTTAGACATACCTGAATCGGCTACAGCTCGGGCGATGCTGTCCCGAAGCCGAAGAGGATTTCGGTATGAACATTCGTTCTAGTTGCCAGTCAAGACTGCAAACCCAAAACCGAAAACGCGCAGTTTTATGTACTAAGAGCAATATACACATATACACCTGCAGAAAACACAACATGGGATTTACTGTGCCATGATCTCTCTGCACGGCCCAGTAGGAGAGAGACCAATACCAACTATTATACAACCACGGACCCCTTAGCCCTACTCTGCAAAAAACTACTTGTGCAGCTCGTTAGCTATGTCATTGGTTGCAGGCGGCGGGCTTATGATCTAGGATGCTTGACCCGCTCCGATAGCCTCAGCCTCTCAACCTCAGCCACTTTGGCCGGTCTTCACTAGTACAATCACACGAGGGTTTCAGAAACCCGGTCTGTCGGGATCCCTATGGCCTAAGGGAGAAAAAACAAGACGTCGGCTGTTCCTAAAACTCCTGACTTCAAATACTGAACAACGAATACCTGAACCCCCCTCTAGCCTTTCACCGCCCAGAGCTTAAACCCTTGCACTTCGAACCCCTGAAGCCCAGACCTCTTGAACCCTAAACCCCTGAAAACCTGAACGCCTAAACCCTAAACCCATCAGGCCCTACACCCAAAACCCTAAGCCCCGAAACCCCAATCCCGTCAAGCCCTACACACCAGAAGCCCGGATCCATCACCGCAAAGGCTCACGAGGTCCAGCCGGGCCCCTGCACGTATCAACCTCGGAGGGCTGCTTTCTGTCACATTTTAGGGTTTTTCCCTCTCGCATGGCTAAGGATCTATGCCATTTTAGGGTTTAGGGTTTAGGGTTTAAAGCTTAAAGTTTCGGACTCATGGAGTGTTGGGTTTAGGGCCCCAGGGCTTCAACACAAAAACTGCAAAAGAAGGTGTCGGGTGCAGAGTTTTTGGGCTTTTGGCGTCAACCTCAGCTGTTTCTGAAAATGCTGGGTTCGACAGGTGTGCCTACCAGGGTTCTATGATACGGAGGCCTTAAGAATTGGAATTGGTTTCGAGGTATGCTACACAAAAGCTGTATAGGGACTATAAACGAGATACCACATTGAAACCAACCATATGTACACGGATTCTAAAAAAGTTGCTAACATGCTATAACTTTTTTTAACTGACTTAAGGCCTCAAGTTGTTAAGTGATTGTGTTTACACCCCAAACCTACATACACCCCAAACCTAGGCCCTTAACTCGGCCACACCGCAAGGCTCTGCAAATTCCAACATCGCATCACTCCCAAACCCCCCATTAAGCCTCCCATCGAAAAAGCCCTCCTTACTGTTGATGATATAAATCCTGCATTACACATAACAAGGAATATACCATAATTCCCATAGTTTGGGGTCCTTAAGGTAATGCTAAGGATATATATCATCAACCGCAGCCCCCTACACCCGCCAAGCCTCAAAGCCAGAAACTCTGCTTTGCAGCAGACGGCTTACCTATAGTCTCCATGTTAACCAGTTATATATTTACGGGTTATAGGGTTTAGGGTTTATATTATACAAGATAACACCCAAAAGGACCAAAAAGGAATTACAACGGAGACTACAAGTAGGTCCTAGCAACACTGCTTCTTCAGCTTTACAGCTTGGGAGGATGGCGTCGATTGAGCCCGGCGGTTTTCGAATTCTCAAGGGAACCCAAAGTGTTTAGGGTGCATAGGGCTTAGGGTTTAGCGGCTTTGGGCGTAGGGTTGAAGATTCAGGGGTGGGATTACCAACGGCCATCCGCCCTACGGGAAGCAGCGCCATGCGCTCCACAAACCCCGCAACACGTCGGAGCCCAACCTGGGATTCCAAGCAATGTGATCATATACATAATACTCGCATCCTATAATGAGAATAGTAATGGTAGCAGTAGTCCGCGTCGTCGTCGTCGTTCATCATAACTAGTAGTTGCTAATAGTGATCCGTCTCCAGGTTTTTGCATTAAAGCGAATGTTTTGGTCGAGGGCTGATGTAGGCATCCACGGTTTGGGGCCTACCGTTTGGCTCATCGGAGATGGATCAGAAAGGAAGCCATAAACCCTAAATCCATTACCCATAAGCCCCTCAGCCTCTCACGGCAATTCGGACGACTAAGGGGGCACTCCTCACATGATCAAACCAAGATTCCCAAAAAGGTATGTTCGTTGAAGCCATACTCCTCACTTCAGAACAAAACCCCACAAAACACAAACCTGGGGACGTTCGCCAGTACAACATGCAAACGTGGACCTGTTACTCCGTAAGCCCAATCCCAGCAGCACTGCAGCGCTTTCGAAGGAAGATGTGAGAAGACAGGCCATCCTTTAGGGTTTAGGGGTTTAGGGGTTAAGGTTTAGGGGTTTAGGGTTTAGGGGTTTAGGGTTTAGGGTTTAGGAGTTTAGGGTTTAGGGGTTTAGGGTTTAGGGTTCGTGATTGCCATGTTAAGGGGGTATTGGCAAACAGGCTGCAGGCGGCTTTTGGGCTTGATTTGGACATGGTTGCGGTCTACCTCTGTGTTCCTTCTACTTCCTTCTTTTGGTAACCCGGGTTCTGTGTTGCGGGGTCCCCTGACTATGAACTGGCTAACCGGGAAGGGTTGGTTTCCAGGAATCCGGGTTTCGCGACATGGATAGTGGGTCCTAAGATCTAAGAACTCGGTGGATATCGAGCTCAACACAAGCGGGGACTACAGTAGCCCTAAAACCCCAAGCCCTAAACCCGCAAAGGGCTGATGCGCAGGTCTTGTCGGGAGGCCCATGGTTGTAGCAAGTGAAGCAAATGGGAACGACCATTGGGCGGGGGATTCTTGATATTCCCTATAAGCCCTGAACCCTAAACCCTACTCGATGTTTTTTTTTGGGGGGGAGGAGGGTTACTTTGCCAGGGTCCTAAACTGAAGGGTCTCGCACTCGTATGTCTGGTGATCTCGGAAGCATGGAAAGAGCAAAGCCACACCCCGACGTCCGACCCTTTCATTCTGGTCTGCTCAGGTACCTTGCTTCCTTCGAAATAACGGTCTGTCACGGGAACTTCATCTAGCCAATCCCGATTGAGTATTGCAGCTTCTACCCTGGCGGGAGCCGTCGTTTGCATCAGCCTCAGCTTCCTACGATAAGGTGCACAGTGAGATTACGACGACGGTAGCAGCTGAGTCCTAGCGCCTGCGAGCCAGCCCTCAACCCTTCTACACTAAACCCTAAATCGTTCATAAATGCTACGGTGCGCCGAGAAAAAAGGCCTACAGGAGCCTTCCAGTGGAAGACTTGTTTGGGGTTTAGGGCTTAGGAGATGCTCCCTAAGCCCAACTCAGCCCGACTCACCGAAGCCGAACTCCACGCCCCCTGAACGTACGAACTCCCCAGGACCATGGACTTCGAACTCAGAGCCAACCACCAGCAAGGCCCCCTTCGAACTCAGCGGCAGAGGCGTAGCGCCACTGTAGTGGTAGGCATAGGTACCTCACGACGGGAAGATGCTCAAGGTCATCCTACGCCATCAAGGAAAGTCCAGTTCCAAGCAACGGCTCAGGGGTTACTGTACCGGTCTTGTATGGGGACCCTCAACCTGAATCCTGAACCCTAAACCCAGTGACTTGCTACATAGGCGACCGGGTTCATAGGGTAATCCTCAGGAAATGGAGCCACGAAGAGGCCTACCTTGAGCTTTGGCTCGCGGGCCTCGCAGTCATCATCATCATCATCACCACCACCGTCACCGTCCCACACCATCATCATTATCATCATCATCGTCGTCATCATCGTTATCAACAACAACCACGCTACCAAAGATTATCTTCATCATTTTTACCACCACCACCACCACCAACAACATCTCCAGTCGTTTCACAGTCACTAACATCCTCTTTCACAGGCAGTAACATCCTGATTGTCATCATCCCCACCGTCTCAATAGATCTCCATCATCTTCAGAAATCTTCAGCATCCGCAACACCATCCAGCACCATCAACAGCAGCGGCACCGACATCAGTTTCTGCATCAAGACCATGATCATCAGCAACGTGCTCATGTTCGCTGCGACGTCTACCCTGTTCCCCCCACCCCCCCACGAAACCACGGCCAAAGGTACTGAGGCGAGACTGGCTCCAACGGTGGCGCAGGCTCAGACAAGCAAAGAGTACCTCGCAGGCTCGAAAAAGCCGGACATTGTATAAACCGACGAATATTGCCACGCTCTCAGGCTCTCAGTAGCCATTACCAGAGATGGTACTCTTTTTGCCTATTGCCGACATGCTAGGAAGCTCTTTTGCCCGGAAACCGTCGCACTGCCGGCTGAGGAGTTACCCTCAACCCTAAACCCTAAACCTCTATATAGACCCTGGACCCTAAGCCCTAGACCCCTTCTTGGGACGTAGCTTTCATCCTTGAGATCTCGGGGCCTTAGGGCGCCATGGCAATTCGGGGCTGCCAGTGGTTGAGGGTTTAGGGTTTAGGGTTTGTGGTATGCGCACTGGGCTTGGGGCTTACGGTTCATTGTTGAGGGTTGAAGGTTTAGGGCTGTGGCTTGAGGGGTAAGGGTTGAGGGTTTAGGGTTGCGGGGCGGACTCTAGAGTTTAGGGTTTGAGGTGAACTGCACCTGTCTGCCACCGCCACTCGTAGAACCGGCTTCGGGATGTACTGCTGCAATGCACTTGCACGTGCACACGGGGGAGAACTTCGCCAAGCACGTCTACCTGACCTAAAAAAACCGAAACCTTGAAACTATACAAAACCTGGAAGCCGGAAATTAAGACCTAAGTCTTGCTCCCAAAAGTCAGACAGAAGGGGCGACCCCAACCCTGATGGCCCAAAGCCCCAAACAGCCTTGTTCGAAACCCTAAGCGCTATCCGTAAACCCGAACAGCCCTAAGCCCTAAACCCTACGCACATTTACTTGCCCCTCCTCTGCTACCAAAGGTGCTCCAAGTGGACTCAGCAACGGCTTGGTGAGCTGATGGTTCACATCCTTGCTTTAGGGGTTGAGGGTTTAGGGGTTAAAGGTTCGGGGTTTTAGGGCCTCAGGCTTTCTATTTTAATCCAAGAGGTTAGGTTCCTGTTAGGGCCTCAGGCCACTGCAAGGGTTTCTGTAAGGATTCCTATAAGGGGGCTCTACACGGCCTCGCTTTAAGGCTTCGGTATGTAAAGTCTTTAAAACGGCCTCAAAAATCATACATGCTTCTGAAAGAAGGATAGGCTTCTGGATCGAAATCGAACCGAACCACCGTTCCGGTCCAGGTTGTTCTCGGTTTCATGTTTCGGTTTAGGGTTTGGGGTTTAGGGTTCGGGGTTTAGGGTTTAGGGGGCTGAATGTAGGCGCTTAGGGAGCTTAGCGTTTGGGCTACCCACAGGGTCGCTGGGATGGTACTGTGAAAGTACCAGGTGCCGCGAGACCAAGACTAACGAGGTGTGTCTATGTATAATATATATATATAGGTGCATCTGGAAGTAAACGACGAGTTGTTGTTCTCACCTATACCTATCAAGACCGAAAACCAACCCGAAAGATACCGAAAGCCGCTTCAGGACAACCTACGGGTCACCGTATGTTCAAAACACACCTCATCGGAAATCCTCAGCCCCGATTCAAAATACGTGCCTCAACTACCCTGCCTCACGAGACCAAGCCATGACACAAACACCTCAACTCTGCAAGTCTGCCCAAACCCTAAGCCCGAGAACACTATGGGCCGAAACCTTCAAGCAATCTCAGTGGCAAATCGGGCACTCTCTAGTATCTTTCAGACGGGCCGCCACACCTGCCGCCACCAAGAGGGAGACCAACTTGGCTGATGCGCCTGGCTGTCAGACCCTGATGAATCAACCCCTACCTCCTGCAAAGGATTATAGTAGGGATCCTAAAAAAAAACTTGGCCCCCAATGATAAGGAGTACTAACCAGGAGTCTAAATTAAGGTTCAGGGGCCCCTAACACTCTAAACCGCCCTAAACCCTTTGGGTCTAACAGGCCTGCCGGATTTCCGGTTTTGGGCGCAACCCCCGGCCTCCGTGTAAGAGTGCCGCGTGCAGTCCCTCCGCCAGCTCCTCCCGGGAGGCGTAGGCGATGAGCTCCTCTGGAGAACTGCTGGGGATCCCCTACGCCCTACGCTGCCTTTTTTTCGAGTTTTGGGTGTGGGGGGGGCCTGTTTGGTCTAGGGTTTGCAGTTTCCCATACGGGGCCCGTTTGACACTCACACTCGGATGCTTTGGGTGAGGCTTACGCGAGTTGAGATGAGCTGTCATATGGGCCACATGACGGTTTAGGGTTTAGAGTTCAGGGGGGACACACCAAGCCTCCCATACCATTTAGAGTTTAGGGTTTAGGGTCGTCAGTACTTAGGGCCTTAAAGTTTACCACTGGTGTCGCATGCTATGGTTCCTGTTCGGCCACCGCACAGAGATCAGGAGCCAATCAGCACCACAGCAAACAGGCAGACACAAGATAAACGACATGGGACTCTAGCCGATAACCTCTGAAACACCGCTGCAAAACCTGGAGATTGCAGCCTGGGATCAAGCCCTGTTTGCTAAACCCTCAAAACCTTCGAAACGCATCCTCCAAAGCTCGTGGTCCTGGATAGCCTCCACCCCGCCACCGGCACAAGCCATGGCAAAGGGCGAGTAGCCTCAAACACTGTGCGTCTGTTGCACTTTCGGGTTCAGGGACGTTTCGGGTTTCTGGGTTACAACGGCCATGTCTTTGAAAAGGCGCATCTGGAGGGCTTTACTAGCGCTGTTTCCAGTATTTTTCGAATCTCTACGACTCTATGGACTAAATGCGATTCAGAGTTGAGACTCATGGTTCAGGCTTAAGGGCTCAGAAAGCCCCGCCCCTAAACCCTAAACCCTAAAGTTTAAAGGCCCTAAATTATGTTCCGGATATGTACGGGATGTGGGGCTCTCTGGGTATGCAACCTCTGCAAAAGCCCGGCCCGCGAGTTCTGGCTGATCCTTACAGCCCCAGTTTCGGAGTGGGACTGATTTGCTCTCGGTTTCAGGGAATCGGGGTGCTTTCTGTAGCATTTCCTGTCTCACCTCATGTTCGAGAGCTGTTTTGGGGCCCACATACTGACCTTTTTGAGCTCCCAGATTCGCTGCCTATTCTCTCCCAGGCTTGAAGACTTTGCGAGGCTAAACAATGTTAACCTGCCGGTGCGCTTCGTTCTGAGGGCAGCATCAGAGTCTGTAAACACATATCATGAACTTACAACGCCGTCTCGTGGATAAGGTGGCTGACAAGGGGGGTCGGTTTCGGCCTTGCAATTGGGGTTCTGTAGTGTGCCTTCGCATGCAAGCACCCTCACTGCACACGTCCGGCTTCATGATCGCTCAACCTCACGTCACAACTGCTATCTAATCCCTACGCCACCCTTCCGAGCTCTGCGTCCAAAGAATAACACCACCCGAAAAAAACTCACCACAAAGTGGAACCCGACTAGAAGAAGCTGCGTGTACCGAGCTCTTTACACTGTTGATCGAAGTAATGAGGGTAGCTGCTCGGTGGCTGCATCCCAAAAACGAAAAATGGTGCACTGCAGACCCAAGGCACCAAGCATGTTCGGCACGTGGCAACCGAGGCCCGCATCGCAAAGGATCTGGATTCCTGCCCAGGGTGCTTTAGGGCTGTGGATTCCAAGCTTTGTAGGGTAAGAGGGCTCTGGAATATGGGCCCGAAAGAGTCGGGAATGTGGACCCTAAAGAGTAGGGAATATGGGCCCTTAATAAACTTAAGAGTAGGAGTAGGATCCTCGTCATTAGGAACCTTCACCTTCGGGCCCCTGATTCGAAGACCCATATCGGAGGCCACAACCAAGACAATCAAACCTTGGCATGCCGACACGACTGAAAATATCACAGGCGTCCCAAACCCGTCCCACAAACCGTGATCTTAGCGACGAAAACCCGTGTTAAGGTTTAGGGTGCAACACTAAACCCTTAACTTAACCCTTTAGGGTTGGGGTTGTGCTCTCAGGACTCGGACTTGCCAGATAAGGTCTCAAGGTCACTTGCTCGATGCCCTGGGGTTGGGGGGGCGCTTTTCGAGTCAGACAACCTAGCACACAAGAACAAGTTCTGCACCACTTGAAATGTCACAGACCTTAAACCCTAAACCTGTTTGGAGCAGGGACTGCAATGCACTAAGCCCTGAATCCCTTCCCTAAACCTAAAAACCCTAAACCCAATTAGACTTAGGGCTTATATTGGCTGATATGGCTCGGCTGAACCCTGGAAACCTGATTCCCCTTTGGGGCATCTGACCTTCGGCATTGTCGGCTACAGCCGCCCAGTGAAGGGCAGTGGCGCCATAGCCATCGGCATGGTTCCTTGAAAGGTCCGTCTACACTATTGCTTCCGGCGAGGGCTTACATATTTCTACACATCTACAAGGTTTAGGGTTTAGGGCTCATAAGTTGTAAGGTTCATGGCATTGGTTTCTGTGTCACGGATTCAAGGTCTTGCCCGGAAATCCCCATTCCCGAACCGCAGCACGCACATAGCCTCGCTTCTGCATTTCTCTAGCTGAAAACCGATAACAAAACTAAACTCTGAACGCTAAGTCGTTGAAGGGATACCGGACTCTCAGGTTTCATGCCCCCCCAGCCGGACGGAATGTTCAGCCAGGGCCTTGGGTGCTTTGAACGCTTTCTGGCCTTTGTAACCCTCGGACAGTGACCACTGATGGGGCTAAAACTAGAATATGTACAGACCTTGTAGAACCCGAAAAAAAAGCCTGAACCCGATACCTTGACAGGGCCTATGCCAGGGCGGCAAGAACTGGATGCGAAAGTCTGGGGAGGTTGCGTGAGTGCCAAGAGGTGAACACCGACAGAACCCGAAAGCTGGTCCCTTATTCGTCCCTGTAAGAAACCACATCGCATCGGCCTATGAGAAATACCGCTAAAGCGGTGCAGACCAAGTTCAGATTTCGGTTCGCGCCTGGTGAGTACGTAATACAGGGGCCTTAATGATTAGAATAGGGTATTCTTGGTTCTATTATACTACAACCTATAACAGGGAACCCCCAAGATAGTATTGGCAATTTATGCCTCTATATTAAGCTTTTAGGTTAGGGCTTAAGTGGGGCTTATAAGGGCTTAGGAGTTCTGGGCCGGCCCCCTGCCTGCAGAAGAGCCTCTCAGGTGGTCCATCCTCAAACCGGGTTTAGGGTTTAGGGTCTATATAGGGTTTAGGGTTTAGGGTCTATATGGGGCTTAGGGTTTAGGGTCTAGGGTTTAGGGTTTGGTGTCTATATAGGGTTTAGGGTGAGGGTTTCACTACACCGCCCGAAATCCCAAACAACACTAGACCGGGAATGTGAATTTCGGTCAGGCCGCCCATCCGCGCCCGCAGCGAGAAGAATCCTGTCTTTTCCACAATCCCAGAGCTGGCGATCCATGCACAGTGTCTGATAGTACACTGCAGTATGTTATAGTATACTACAGAAAAAGGAAATACAGTCTCGTATATGGAACTATACACACTACAAAACAAAGACTGAGTGTGTGTGTGTGTGTCTCTTTCTTTTGTGTGTGTGCGCGCGCTTGGGTTTGGGGCTCTTGCCGTAGGTGCTAGAGTTTGGGGGTGTTCAATGAAAGTCAGGCGGCCCGTGCTCGGGGTAGGCGTACGATCATCAGGAATGGGATCTACATGAGTAAAC